GCAACTTCAGAAATCTCATTATGGTTGCTTTCATTGCTCTGACATTCCCACCAGAAGTGCCCTAGTTTGTGACAGTTGAAGCACTCAACAGTGGATTTTTCGAAGTTTGCCCTTCCTCGTCCTCGATAGCCATTATGACCTCTTCCTCAATTAGAAGATTCCCCATAATTCACCTTCAAAGCTTGTTCCTCTTCTGGACCAATCATCTTTTGCTCATGCACTAGCAAACTACTTTGCAATTCATCTATAGACAGTTTGCTAGTGTTTTGTGCCTCCTCAATTAAATAGACCTTATAGTTGAATTTTGAAGTCATAGATCGCAATATCTTTTCCACTACTTCTATGTCACTTTTGTTTTCACCATTAGCCTTCATCTTGTTCTCAATCGTAAGTGTAAGTGCGAAATAGTCATGCATAGTCTCTCCAGCCTTCATATGGAGTGTCTCAAATTCCTTCCTCAATGCTTGCAATTGAGCTCGCTTAATCCACTTGAACCTTGGTACTTCTACTTCATAAAGTTCCATATGTCCTTTGTAGTGTCTTTCTTGAGAATTGTTTCGATAATGGAACGATCCAAGGCTTGAAAAAGATAATTCTTCACTTTCAAGTCCTTAACCTTATTTTCATCTATTTGACACTGCTGCGCCTCAGTTGGAGTCGTTCGAACAGATGCAACTAAAATTCCAGTTTTAACCAAACCCCAATATTCTTTCGAATGTAGAAAATTCTCCATCAACATTTCCCAATGATCATAGTGACTATCAAACTTAGGAATCGAAGGTTGCATGAAAGTATTTTCTATTGCCATCACTCTCTGTCTTTCTTATAGATTAGCTAGATGCAGTTATGCTTTATCAGGCCTACAAGAGGCTTTGATGCCAGAATGTTATAAAAGAAAAATAGTTGCTAAAGTATTTCATAAAGGAAGGATAACTCTATTTTATTCATGTGCTATACAAAATATATATAGCTAGTTCACAAACAGAAAAATATCCAAGAGACAACAACTACCCAACAAATAAGGAAACAAAATTCTAGTCAAACTAGGAGACTTATTCAAAGCTAACAACCTCTAGTATTCTAGTAACAACTAAAGGCTTATTAAAATGTATCTAATACAAAAAGAACTTCGATGATTAAGTTAGTCTATTCTACCAAATATTTCCCCTTTTTCTGTTATACGTACCTTACTACTTTCCTTTGAATAGTAAATATGAATATTTAGTTGATATGTCGACTTGATTGTATATGTTCTCTAGTTATTAAAAAAGGTTAACATATTAACTTGGTGAAACCATTACTCGAGTTTGTATTCTCGGTCAGGTTGGTATAGAAACTAATCCAAGTTTGACATCAGTGTCTTCAACTTAATATATGAATAGTGTGATTAAGTTCTCTCACTAATTCGGTGAACACATAATTTATTAAAAATGATAAAGTTAGAGATTTGTATACCAATTCAATAATATATATATATATATATATATATATATATATATATATATATCCAAGCTTATACCATTGGTGAGATTTGTACACTTACTAATCATGTGCATGTTAGAAATTAATTTTTGTAAATACGTGCATGTTTTGCAAAATGCCAAGCACTATAGATTCAACATTGTGAGACAAATATTGCTTTATACGGAGATTTGTTAAATTAAGGAAGAGGTTGCCTAATCCTAACTAGTTTTATATGGACAAAGTAACAATACAAGATGGTTTAGTTAGAGAAATGGCTAGTTATGTTAAGAAAAAAAAAATAGATGAAGACAAAAACTAATTAATTAATTAAACAAGTTATGATTGATTAATAGCATATGTTCATCTTCATGGGGAAAGCCACCTTCGACCTGTACAAATTGGTAGGTTCCAAATAAAGTTGAAATGAAGTAGTGAAAAAAGAAAACGAGTCACAATCACCCAGCTCTATAAATAGTAGAGGAGTGTAGACACCTAATTTCATTTAGGGCATACAAACAAGGAAATGGACATCCAGCATGAAGAAAAGGAGCCCTCGAAAGCCCAGAAATGATACGACGTGACATTAGAAAGCCCAAAGCCCAATAAGGGTGATTTAGTAGCCTAGAACGGGCTATTCCCTGCTTGGAATGGGTCGTTTCAAACTACTAAAAAGGCATAGAAACCCTAATTTGGAATGGGCCATTCCAAAATAGGCTGTTATGAACTAAATTCAAATCCAGAACGGGCCATTCTGCTTCTGGAACAGGTCATTCTAGATTCAAATTTAACACATAACGAGTTGACCCAGAATAGACCGTTCTGAATCCAGAATGGGCCGTTCTGAATCCAGAATGGGCCGTTCTAGTCAATTTTGACATCTATAAATAATAGACTCGGGCACTGCCCCAGGGGCCGGAAAAATTTGTCCATAACTCTATATAGCTCAAAAATTCTCTTTCTCTCCTATTGTATTTCTTGAGATTCTATGAGAAATGTTGTAGTGTGTTAGGTAGCCAAAAAGTACCTAAGAGTCTCCCTATTTGAAGATCTAATAAAGCTTGCTACGAGGTATTATTCATCAATCTCTTTCTTCATCTTCCACTTCTTTTATTTTAAATATTGTTATAATAAAAGCAACCATGCAGACATCTCAAGGTCAATGGTGTAATTTAAATTTCATGTATATAAATAATCACCAATAAAGGGGATTTAATATTTAAATTATTATTTCTTATTATGCTAGTTTCATCATAGGATACCAATTAAGGGCGTTGTATGAGTGTTTAATACCTTCCATACACGTAATCAACCCCCGAACCCAATTTTGGTTATCAAGGCCATTATTGGATTTTCAAAAAACCTCTTCTTTCTCCAATGTTTTGAGTAAAACATTGGTGGTGACTCCCACGAACCATTTTCAAAATCATTAATTAAGGATTAGTCCAGTTTTCATACATTTCCTAATTAATGAGATTTTTAATTGTAAGTCTAAACCATTAGTTGTAAGATCGGAATTTTTCGGGTTACGACAAGGAGTAATCTCTAATAATTGTATCATTTTCAGTTTTGTTCAAGTCTTCAATTTGTCCAAGAGCTTCCTTGATATCTAGCCTTTTTTCCACATTCTCCTCACAACAACTCAAGCCAATCAAAAAAGAGGTTGAGTAATTGAGCTTTACTATATTCGATTCTTCCAAACTCTATGTCAAATGCGTCATTGGTGCGCTTATCAGCAATCATAGTATTTACTTAACTAGCTATATTAGAATCAGTATTATACCAAAGTGTGAGATAGTTCTCAGGAAATTTGTCAGTTAAGATCTCGAGTATTAGAATCCCAAAATTCCATACATCATTATCATTCTTTCTTTAAAGACTTTTCTTCTTAATTGGTTGTATCATACATTATCTTTAAAATAAAATAATATCTATAAAAAAGAATATTTGGTGGAGTTTAAAGAGGTTTGTCAATAAATTAATACTCCGAAGAGGCTTGATCATAAAAAAATACTTGGTATTACAACTTAGAGAGACTTTATGTAAAAATAATACTTAGGTACAATTTTTAAAGAGACAATTCAAAGAACACTTACTTTTGAGTCAAAAATGACTTGTTGAAAGAATAATTGTATCTTGTTTGAAATAGTCAAACTCAATCTAATTGGATTCAAAACTGAATATAGTCTCGGTGATTGAGACGAAACAATATAAAAATTATCCCATGTTTCATTTGTCTCTTCTCCATTATTCTTTACTATTATAGCGTGTTTGAATGAAGAATTTAAATAGAGTAATTCATTTATTTGAAGAATTTCAAATTCTTGGAGGTGAAATGTTTTGTTTGGATAGATAATTTACAAAGAATTTAAAATTCAAACATTAGTGAAATTCTTTAAAATAGTAAAATTTTAAATTCTCCAAAAAAAGTAAGAATTTGGGAGAATTTGAAATTTCTCATATTTATTTTTCTTATTTTACTTATATATTTTATCTTATCTCTTTACTCTTTTAATTATTGAATATTCAAATTTTTTTTTAAAATTATTAAATATTATCGAATATTAATTTTAAAATTATTAAATATTTTAAAATTGGCTAATAATTATTTTTATAAAAATTAATTTAAAAATCTCAATATATGAATATATTTTTAAAATTAATTTTATCATGGTAGAATCAAATTATTATATCAAAACTAAAAGTTAAAAATTTTAAAAATTTGTAAATGACTTATCCAAATAAAATATTTTAAGAATGATAGAAATTAAAATCAAAGTAATTCAAATATCAATAATTTTAAATTCTTTGAATTTGTAAAATTTCTCATCCAAATACACTATTAATATTACTATTTTACTATTTAAAAAAATATCAATTTTTTTATTTATACTATTTAACATTTCCTTCTAATGTTTATCTTTTTTTCACACTTGCCATTTACATAACTATAACAAAGATAAACTTAATATCAAAATGAGATTTGAAAGCTAATAGTTCAAATGTCCAACAAAAGTACATGAAATTTACGATATAAAATCTAAACCAAATAACTTTAGTTATATTTCATTTTATTCTCAAAATTGATTGACAAGATAATAAAATTAAAAATAATGAGAGTGTATCGAATAAACATAGTGATAATGATAATTTTACCTTTTTTTATTTAATTGTTATTGAATTATTAGTTTGAATTTGAGTCTTAATTTCATTACCACTTTTGTATGACATATTTTTACTATGGTTAAGAACCATAAAAAAATTTAAAAATAATTTTAAAACTTTGAATTTTGAATTTGTCAAGTTTATAGTATTTGAAATTTGTTGTCTTTATATTCATTCTATCATGTACTTTATAATATGAACTTAATAAGAGGGTATTCTAACAAAATGAAAATGTATTTATGTTTTTTCAAGTATAAAAAATTTTATGAACCTATTTACAAATTCATTTCTCAATAATTAACATTTGAATATCTAAATAATCTTCGTGTGCTCCATAGGTTTAAAGACTAGTAAAATTTCCTAACACTCCATAAGTCCGTTGTGCTCTTTTCATATTTACAGGTCCCCTTCTCAGTGTGGCAGCGTTTTCCGGTACTCCTTTAACCTCTTCAACTAACTGTTACTGGCAGTTGATGAAGCTCCAAGTCACTCGCCGTTTCTTTTGCAGTACCAGCCATTGCATTCTTAGTTTCTTACAGGAATTTCTAGGACATTCTTTTACCCTCTTCTTTCAAGATTTAGAAAAAAAAAAAACCAAAATTTCAGCGCTGCCTCTTGTTCCTCGTACTAAAACAATTTCATCCTCGTATTAACGGTCTCACTCTCATGCTTCGGTTTGTTTCAACTGGGTCAAATATTTTTTCACGAGCCGCAGTCGTAAAAGCTCTGCGAGTGTTCAGTTCCGCCACCTGTTCGACCATTGGCCTGACCCAAACCAAGGTTGAAGTTGAAGTTGAAGAATCTACAAACAAATGGAACAATGCCACTGAACTTTTAAGCAAATGGGGTTGTAGTGATGATGATTTGATGAGAATATTCACGCGTTGTCCCTCATTGCGCAATGCTGATCCCACGCAGGTTCAATCAAAACTGTATCTGCTGAATGATTTGGGCATACACGGGTCTGAACTTGTGAAGATTCTCAATTGTAGGCCACGGTTTTTTAGTACTCGGGTTAACCGTTGCTTAGATGAGAGGATTGCGTATCTTACTTCATTGTTTGAGACGAAGGAAGTGCTTCAGAAGGCCATTGTGAGGAACCCTTCGTTGCTGCTATCGAAGGGTTGCTATAATGTTAAGGCAACAGTTGAGATCTATGAGAAGTTGGGTGTCAAGAAAGAGGACTTGGTTCAAATGCTCCTTTTGCGGCCCACGGTTATTTCGAGGACTTCATTCAATGCTGAGAAGCTGGAATATCTAGGCAAGACGGGGCTTACCAAGGATTCAAAGATGTATAAGTATGCGGCCACATTGATAGGAATCTCTCGTGTGGAAACGATTCGGGATAAGTTGGCGAATTTCGCGAGGTTTGGGTTTTCTGAGGATGAGATATTTGGTCTTATGGGGAGGTCTCCTAATGTTTTGACATTGTCGACCGATAAGGTTCAGAGGAACATGACTTTCATTTTGGGCACCATGAACCTGGATGCTAAGATGGTTCTAAAGCAGCCATATCTCTTGTATGCCAATGTGGATACTGTTCTGAAGCCAAGAGTGCTTCTAGCATTGAAGATACAAGATATGGATTCAAAGTTGCAAATCATGGGACCAACGATGGTAAGGTCGCTGAGGATGACAGAGGAGAGGTTTTTAACCATGTTTGTCAAATGCCATGACAAGGATGTTGCCAGTGAATTGATGGAATTCTATAAGAGGACTAAGGAGGTGAAGAGATTAGGCGAGTCATCAAAGAAGTATAGTAAGAGAGGATTCCCTTTCTGAAATCTGAACTACATTTATCATGCTATGAAGTAATTTTGGAGCTGAGATCCATGTCCATTTTCTGGCTCATCATGTTATTGGAAATTATTTTTGTGACATTAACTATGCATATTGTTGGGCACCAGAGGAAAATGAAAACTTCAATAGCGGAAGCACACACACGAGAGAAATAAAAATAGAGAAATAAACTCAAAAATTAACGTGGTTCGGCACTTCTTGCTTACATCCACAAACACACTCAACAAATTATTTTATTACTCCACTTGCAATTTTTACAAGGATAAAATTGCAACCCTTTCACACAATTTTTGCACGAAAAAATTATAAACCCTCTCTTGGCACACAACTACCCAAGTCCCCAATAGACCCAAAAACTAGTGTTGTTGTGGTAAGTAGACCCAAACTATCACCCCTTATTTATAGTAGTAGTCTACCACTTTCCTTCTTCAAAACTATCCGATGTGGGACTTTAGAGGATACTCACACACTTTAGGCACAACATATCCTCCCTTCATCCAAAATCTCACATTAATCCATTATCATAACAGGCCACACTTACAGAAGGAATACTCTTCTTCTTCTCCTTCATACATTTCTACAGTAATGACACTGAACAGTACTCATATCTTTCGGCTGGAATCTTCTACCATGTTGATCACCATACTTCTTCTTTCCTCGCTCGCTTTTAGCTAGCAGTATTTGACTGTCTTCAGAGGATTTATCACCACCCATCATTTAAATAAGGACTTATGATTTAATTTGTTTAAAGATCGGTTTAATCAATTTAATGAAAAGATTGGACTTAACTAATAAAAAAAGTTAACTTATTTATTTATATAATATAATAAAAAAATTAATATATATATATATATTACATTATTAACAATATAATTAAGTAAATAAATTTGAAATATAAAAATAATTTATTAATATTTTTGACACTGCACTTAAATGTTTTCAATTCTCTATTCATATAAAATAAAGAAATAGAAAATAAAATATCTAATAGGTGAATTCACCTATCTTTTTCTTTCCTTTTCATGATTGTTTATTTAAAATATTTCAAATAGGTATGAGATATAAGAAATATTTATATGATTTTTTTTTATTTATAAGATTATCTTTTTTCATCATACTTTTGTATAAATATATGTGCTAATTTTAAATTAGATCCACATACCAAATTCAAATTTAATTTTAATTTTGTTTGCAAATTTCTTTTGGAGCCAATTTTAATGGAATGTGTTGTGACTATGAGTTGTTAACAACATCACCATTAATTATAGACACTTAATCCCTAGAATTGATAATATATTAGATATGAGTCTACTATATTTTTCAAAAATAAATTTAAGAAAATAAAATTGTACAATTGTAATACTTAAGAAACTAAAATTATTCAATTCAAGTTTGATAGATTAAAATCGCACAATTGTTATACTTAATGGATAAAAACATATTTAACCTAATATATACATATATATTAATTTTTTTATATGATAAATCGTGACAAAATAACCTCTATTTTGACTTTAGAATTTTATTTTTGTAGTTGAAACAATTTGAAAAATTTTACATGATAAAATTTTATAGTAAATTTTACTACTAACTTTTTTTTAAAAAATTGAAAATATATAAATAAAAATCACATCACTTCAAAATTATTTATAAGTAACGCTAACATTATAAAATTTTCTTCGTAATTGATTTATTTTAAAACAAATTATATTTAACTCATTGAAAATATAAAAATTATCATATTAATGCCTGAAACTAAAAAATCTCAAACAAATCTTTAATTGTAACATAATATAACAATTATTATATTAGTTCCAAAATTTTCTAGAAATTAGATGATTTAAATAATAATAATACGAACATATATTTATAAATGAAAAATAAAAATGATTAAATTTTGAAATTTGCTTGAAAAAATTAACTTTTTTTAGAATCTAAGGGGAGACTTTAGGGGTGTGATTCACCCAACTTGTGTGTTAGAAATGCCGAATGCGTTACATCAATAAGTTAAAATACCGCGTTCATTTTCAGTCTTTCATATATAACTATATGTCATGCGTCTTAACGCGTTGATTTAAAGTGACGTGTTCATGTGGACTGTTTTGTATCCCCTTAACATTTGACAACACTAGCTTTGCACTAATCCAATTTGACAACATAGATAACATCTCTTTGTATTTTGCATTATTGCTTTGTATTCCAATCGTTGACTTATGTCGTCTTCGTCATCCAAATCCAGACCACAATGGATCTACGATGTGTTCATCAATTTCAGGGGAGGAGGCACCAGGAATTTCGTTTCTCATCTCTATTACGCCCTCTTAAATGCCGGAGTCAACACTTTCTTCGATGAGGAGAATCTACTCAAGGGAATGCAACTGGAGGAACTAATGCGAGCAATAGAAGGGTCTCAGATAGCAATAGTTGTTTTCTCCGAAACCTATACCGAATCCACTTGGTGTCTCACTGAGCTTGAGAAAATCATCGAATGCCACGAAACTTGTGGCCAATTAGTTGTGCCCATATTTTACGATGTGGACCCTTCCGTTGTACGTCATCCGATTGGTCATTTTGAAAACGCTTTGAAAGCAGCTGCAGAAAAAAAGCATTTACCAGAACTTTTAGAATATGGGTTACGGAGGTGGAGAACGGCACTCACCAAAGCTGCAAATTTCTCTGGTTGGGATGTGAGGAATCGCAGGTACACCAATCGATACTGTACAGTGTCTTGCATCTTATTATTTGAGACCCAATATAGCGCGTTTTAAGGTTGCTTGTTTGAAGCCGGTTTCCCGAGAGACTTGATGGTTTGGATTTTAAATTTTCAAGCTCCAAGTCCTCGGTTCGAAACTAGCAGGGAGCCAGAGAAGGTTGCTTGTTTCAATAAACTTATTTATAAGTATGTAGATAAGAAAATAAAATAAAATAAAATTATCCTTATCCGTAAGCTAACATTCCTCAGTTAAAAATTGGACAAAACTAGCATGCAGTGGTAATGGTCTCCGATCTGATTGGAGTTGCATCGTCGTATTATGTTGTAATAAATGATTATATTAAATATTTATTCTTGCTTATTATCATAGTAAAATTCTAGTTCTTAAGTTTTGTTTTTAAAATTTACTTTAATTACGATAAAACTTTTACAAATTGTTTATATTTTAGCGTCCGAGAATCTTATTTTATTTTTCTTATTTTCTCTTCATAAAAGTGTTTATGTAGATGTTTATGCAAATATGCGCACAACTATTCTGACTGTCTTATGGTAATTATTTAATTTGAAGGAATAAGGCTAAACTAGTGAAGGAAATTGTTGAGGACGTTCTCACAAAACTAGACTACGCACTCTTGTCTATTACTGAATTTCCTGTTGGATTGGAACCCCGTATGCAACAAGTGATTGGATTTATTGAAAATCAATCCACCAAGGTCAGTATTATAGGAATATGGGGAATGGGAGGATCTGGCAAAACTACCATAGCCAAAGCCATCTACAATCAAATTCATCGTAGATTCATGGATAAAAGTTTCATTGAAAATATTAGAGAGGTGTGTGAGACAGATGGTAGAGGACATGTTATTTTACAAGAACAACTTCTTTCAGATGTCCTAAAAACAAAGGTGAAGATACATAGCGTTGGAATGGGAAAAACTATGATCGAGAACAGACTTTCTGGGAAAAGGGCACTCATTGTACTTGATGATGTCAACGAGTTTGGCCAATTAAAAGACCTATGTGGAAATCGTAAATGGTTCGGTCAAGGAAGTGTAATACTCATAACAACTAGAGATCTACACTTGCTTGACCTACTTAAAGTTGATTATGTTTATGAGATGGATAAAATGGATGAAGATGAGTCACTTGAGCTTTTTAGTTGGCATGCTTTTAGAGAAGCAAAACCAGTAGAAGACTTCAATGAACTTGCAAGAAATGTAGTTGCTTATTGTGGAGGGCTACCTCTAGCTCTTGAAGTTCTTGGTTCTTATTTAATTGAGAGGACAAAGAAAGATTGGGAAAGTGTATTGTCAAAACTAAAAATAATTCCCAATGATCAAGTTCAAGAGAAATTAAGAATAAGCTTTGATGGTTTACGTGATCACATGGAAAAGGATATATTCCTTGATATATGTTGTTTCTTTATCGGTAAAGATAGAGCCTATGTTACGGAGATACTAAATGGTTGTGGACTACATGCTGATATTGGAATAACAGTTCTTATAGAGCGTAGTCTCTTAAAAGTTGAAAGAAACAACAAACTTGGAATGCATCAATTGCTACGGGACATGGGAAGAGAAATAATTTGTGAAAGTTCAAGAACAGAACCTGGGAAGCGCAGTCGATTGTGGTTTCACGAGGATGTACTTGATGTATTGGCAAAGAATACTGTAAGCACATTCTCTATTTACAGTTTTGAAACATGAAAGTGTTTGCCTTTTCATGTGGAATTCATTTGCGGTTAGGCTGAGCTTTAAGTATAACTTTCTAGTGAGCTAACAATACACTTTTCCAAATTTATTTTTCTTTGCTCTTTTCATCACAGGGGACAGAAGCTATTGAGGGATTGGCTCTGAAATTCCATTTCACCGGTAGAGATTGCTTCAAAGCTTATGCTTTTGAGGAAATGAAGAGATTGAGACTGTTGCAACTTGATCATGTACTACTCACAGGAGATTATGGATATCTTTCCAAGAAACTGAGATGGATTTGTTGGCAAGGGTTTCCTTCAAAATACATACCAAACAAATTTTATCTGGAAGGTGTTATTGCTATTGATTTAAAACACAGTAATCTTCGACTCGTCTGGAAAGAACCCCAGGTATATATTACTTGCCATTTTCTTTTAAAACTCATAGTTTAGTTAAAATAGCAATTGTTACCCCTTACCACTATTTCATTTTTCATTTTCTTGTCTAATTTTTTGTCATAAAAACCATTTTTTTTCTAGGTTTTGCCGTGGCTGAAATTCCTCAATCTTAGTCACTCCAAGTACTTGACAGAAACCCCTGACTTTTTAAAACTACCAAGTCTTGAAAAGCTCATTCTCAAAGATTGTCCAAGTTTGTGCAAGGTACACAAATCCATTGGAGATCTCCGCAATCTTTTATTGATAAATTTGAAGGACTGTACCAGCCTAGGCAATCTCCCAAGAGAGATTTATAAGTTGAAATCTGTGAAAACTCTCATCCTTTCGGGTTGTTTGAAGATTGACAAATTGGAGGAAGATATAGTGCAGATGGAATCCTTGACAACTCTATTTGCTGAAAATACTGCTGTGAAACAAGTGCCCTTTTCAATAGTAAGTTCAAAAAGCATTGGTTATATATCCCTATGTGGATATGAAGGATTATCTCGTAATGTTTTTCCTTCTATCATTCGATCTTGGATGTCACCAACAATGAATCCCCTATCTTATTTTCGTCCATTTTGTACCACATCATCATATCTAGTTTCCATGGACATGCAAAGTGATAATTTGGGTGATCTTGGGCCAATGCTTAGCAACCTCTCAAATCTTCGAAGTGTTTTGGTGCAATGTGACACAGAATTTCAACTATCTAAACAAGTGCAAACAATTTTGAACGACGTATTTGGTGTAAATTTTACAGAATTGGAAATAACATCACGTACATCACAAATTTCAAAGCAATACTTGCGGTCTTATTTGATTGGAATTGGAAGTTACGACCAAGAAGTCTTCAATACTCTCAGCAATAGCATATCTGAGGTTCTTTCTCTTTCCCTTTGTCTACTTACCTTCACTATATTTTAGCTATTAAGAGAACATGAAATATCTAAGGGAAACTTCAACAATCACCTTCTTCTAGCACCTTTTCCTTCTATAATCGTACGTCTTCATTTAAAAAACACATTATTTTAATAGTTAATCACCTATACACTACTAGTATAAAGTTTCCAGTGTAAAAAAACTTTATACTGGCAGTGTATAGGTGATTAACTCTTATTTTAATATTCAACAAGCCAAGTGATAATTCTCGTATGAAGCACTTGTTTTTGATTTCCACTTTCTTCCTACTATGCTTGCTTCATGTTTGTTATACTCCGATTGAAATATAAGTTGAAAGACCTGTATGATATAAACAGAAACGCATCCTAATGATCTGCGTTGATGGGTCGGGTACACAACAAAACTATTGACAAAAAAAATTTGTCTGAATTTATTACCATAACTATGTTTTAATTTATGCATTACTTTTTTATTTACTTATTTTACTACTTGTACCTGTCTGAAGGGCACACTAGTAATCTTCTCGTATTCTGAGGGCCGAACAAGAGCTCCAAGCGAATATTCCGGTGTGTGGAGGGTACCTACAAAAGGTACTCCGATGCTCAAGTTAGGACAAACACGAATATCGATAGTAATTAATGAACAGTGACGTTACCTCGAGACATGAGCTATTTATGGTGACATTAATGGGCCCTGCAATAGGATTACCTGATTAGGTAATACGTCCCTAATTAACTTATCCGAGTGATTAAGCTTTAATCCTTGATTAGGGATGATTGTTGATTCCATGGCTTACTTCTCTGAGGTTTTGGTTTGGCCGATCAAGTGTCGGTTACCTGGTGTGCTGACTTGTCGACCTTTGCTTCCTTAGCCTATTTGTCGAGGGCTGTTCGTTCGGCCACATCGTTCGGCCATTCCTATCAGTTTCCCATGCCGAAAGGTGTGACCGAACGATGTTACCTGTACACTACTATGTTGCACGGACACGGCATCCGACTGTCATGTTCCTAAATCTGACACTCTTTAGGAGTTGACGCGCCTCAAACACTTCAACAGACCGAGTCCACACAAATTGGACACTTCTCCATGATGCACACCTACAAAATTGACGTGTTTCCATCGCGGACATTTATAAAATTGAGGTGTCTTCATTGCGGACACCTACAAATGAATATGTCACCATCTTGATGCATTATTTCTTACGTGGATTTAAGTTTTTTTTTTATAAAAAAATCTCGATAAAAACAAAAATAAAGAAGAGATGATTTGGGTTTTTCTTAAAAAAAGAAGAATAAATCTCAATAAAAACATAAATAAAAAAAGGAGAATTTGAGATTTTTTTAAAATAAAAAGAAAAAAATTGATAAAAATAGAAACAAGGAAGAGAATTGTTTTGTCTCTCCTTATTTAACTTTCACATAATAGAAAAGAAAAAATCTTAATAAAATTAAAAACAATGAAAGGAGGATTCGAGATTTAAAAAAAAAATTATTGTGGAATATGATGTCTCTTAATAATTTGTTTTTGAGACTCAGTAGGTTATTGTTATATTACAATATTTTTATCTTGTTATTTATATTATATATATGTTGTATCCACGTGTTTTATGTTTTTTGATTTTACCATATGTGTTTGTATCCGTGTCGCATCTGAATCCATGCTACATAGTTTTACTAACCAAATTTTATTGCTCTGCTACTGAGGATGCTCAGCAAAACTATTAACCAAATTGGTTTGAATTAATTACCATAACTATGTTTTAATTTATGCATTATGTTATTATTTTCTTAAAATGCCTTGAATGACAAAATAATGATTGTAGGAGTCCTTTTGAATATCGGAATTGCATAAATGACTATGTTGTTTTGTTCATACTACAGGGATTGGCAGCCAATGAGGGTTTTGATGTTTTTCTCTCAGGTGGCAATGATCCTTCTTGGTTGACCAATATAGGTGAGGGGCATGCAGTGTATTTCACTGTGCCTGAGGGTTGTTGCATGAAGGGAATGACTTTGTGTGTTGTTTATTCATCAAGCCCTGAAACCACGGAACCGGAAGAATGTCTTATTAGTGTCATAATGGTTAATTATACAAAGTGCACTATCCAGATACACAAGCGAGACACAGTAATTTCCTTCAATGATGTGGATTGGCAGGGCATAATATCACATTTGGGACCTGGAGACAAGGTGGAGATTTTTGTGATTTTTGGGCATGAATTGGTGGTAAAGAAGACAGTTGTTTATCTGATTTATGGTGAATCAATTGACTTGGAAATGGATCCTTCTCCCAAGCCAAAGAAAGAGACAAAGAAAAAGGCCATTGGAAGATTCATAAAGAAAATTGTAACGAGCAAGACTCAAGAACAATAAAGGTTTCAACCAACTTTTACTGGGCATGCGAAAGTCTTGGTCTATGATCCCCGTACTTTTTCTTGTAGAGATGAGGGAATAACTCATGTTACATAGATATAAAATAGAAATTCATTAAGAACGTTAACATCTTGTTAAGAGTTCACGTCCACTTGTTAATGTTGGAAAATCTTAAATTTCTAGAGATTCCGAGAGATCCGAGATATTCGAGATATCCGATTTAAGTTATTTGAAATTATTTGATTTATCATTTGAGTTATTTTGTTTCAGATTAGATAAGATAGTTTTTTGTTTTTTTTCCACATCTGTGTAGCACCTCTTCCTCTCTTTTTTGCTCTTAGCTTTTCAGTTTGCTTGATTAGTGTTCAAGTCTGTTAACATCTTTATTGTTGCGGTGATACCCTTCTGTTTATGCAGGTTCACTTTTGAATTCTGGAATCCAGTAAAGAGAATTCATTTGCGTTGCTTTTGGGTCTTGAATATCTTATCAACGTCCCATATGTAGATGATACCGAGGATTTAAGGGTATGATCATGCTGACATTCATGTCTTATGGTTGTCTATTTCTTATGTTATGATTATGATTTATGTGATTTCAAAGTGTGATAAATGATAGTTTAGATAACTAATACATATGAAAATATAACTAAAATCTAGCTAAAATTTTATTTTGTAGGTAATTGTATTTTGTTTTAATAAAAGGCACACTAGAGAAGATATAGGCCCGAAGAACCCAACTCCTTCCTTTTTGGAAAATTAAGAAAAGAAATTGAGAACACGACAGGTATCTTTGTTTATCTTTTGGTTGCGATTTTTTTTTGAAACAATTTTTACTCAGATCATGTTTATGTGACAGGAATACATACTTTTTGTCATGGTCATTTGGGATGCATTATATCTCTGTGAAATCACAACGGGAAAAGATAACAAAGTTGTTATTGCACGTAATATGATGTAAGGGATATTTTTGTATTGATTTGCTCGATGTTAAATGATGTTATACTTCTATTTAATAATATGCCATTGCTTCTGTTGGCAGGTATGTTGTGGGATAGTATCCTCATTTTTTAAGAGCTCATTAGACGTTTCTAAAAGCTGTTGTGAATAATTTTCTTTAGATTTTGCATGAGACTCATCCTGGAGTTCTGGTTATGTTTTCTTCCTATGTTTTCTGTCCTAATTTTTCTTATGTCAATAGCTTATCTTATGTCCCTTTGCGTGTGCCTGTGTTTGTATGCTCTGTGTCTGTACTCTGTGTTGTGTGCCTTTGTTTGCCTTTGAGTCCTTGTGTGTATATGCTGTGTTTTGTATGTGTTTCTATGTGCGTGTATCTGTCCTTTTTGTGTTCACAGGTGGCAGCCTTTAGGTTTGGGAACACTACAAATATTCTTGAGGCATATTCATATAGTTCTAGTGAGGAACAAGTAAGTCTCTGTATTATGGCAAAATTGAATCCGGACATACTACTAAGTTGCATCTCTGACAAAATTTGCCCCTTTTTTAAGGTATCATGTAATCTGTGATTGCACTGTTCTTCTGTTTATGCAGGTTCACATTTGAATTCTGGAATCTAGTAAAGAGAATATATCTGTTTTTCTTTTGGGTCTTGAATGTCTTATTAACGTCCCATATGTAGATGGTACCAAGGATTTTAAGGTATGATGATGTTGACATTCATGTCTTATGGTTGTCTATTTCTTATGTTATGATTATGATTTATGATTGCTGAAACTTGTGTTTTCAAAGTGTGATAAATGATAGTATACATAGCTAATACATATAAAAATATTACTACAATCCAGTTAAAATTTTATTTTATAGGTAATTGTATTTTGTTTTAATAAAAGACGCACTAGAGAAGATATAGGCCCGAAGAACCTGACTCCTTTATATTTGGAAAATTAAAAAAAAAATTGAGAACACGACAGGTATCTTTGTTTATCTTTTGGTTGTGATTTTTTTGAAACAACTATTACTCACATCATGTTAATATGGCAAGAATACATATTTTTTGTCATGGTCATTTGGGATCCTTTATATCTCTGTGAAATCACAACAGAAAAAGATAACAAAATTGTTATTGTTAATATCATGTAAGGGATGTTTTTGTATTGATTTGCTCGATGTTAAATGATGTTATACCTCTATTTAATAATATGTCATTGCTTCTGTTGGCAGGTATGTTGTGGGACAGTATCCTCGGTTTTTAAGAGCTCGTTGGAAGTTTCTAAAAGCTGTTGTGAATAAGTTTCTTGAGTTTTTGCATGAACCTCATCCTGTAGTTCAGGTTATGTTTTCTTCCTATGTTTTCTATCCTACTTTTTCTTATATCAACAACTTTGTTTATGTCCCTGTGCGTGTGCCTGTGTTTGTGTGCTCTGCGTGCTCATTTCTGTGTGCTCTGTGTCTGTACTCTGTGCTGTGTGCTTTTGTTTGCCTTTGAGTCTTTGTGTGTGCGTGTTGTGTTTTGTATGTGTTTCTATGTGCGTGTATCTGTCTTTTTTGTGCTCACAGATGGCAGCCCTTCAGTTTGGGAACACTACCAATATTCTTGAGGCATATTCATTTGGTTCAAGTGAGGAACAAGTAAGTCTCTGTATTATGGCAAAATTGAATCTGGACATACTACTAAGTTACTTGTAAAGCATCTCTGAAAAAATTTCCCCCTTGTTTATGGTATCATGCAGAATTTTGCACTGTTCTTCACCTCAATTTGCAAGGCAGGTTTGTTTTCTCATCTTTATGTCTATTCGTGATTGTATGTTTCAAGTATATATTCATGAAATGTCATGGGATCAGGTGTACCAATGTGACATAGTTTTGGGATTTTTTATGCTTTGTGTGTGTACCATATCATGCGTGTGGCATGTTTAAGAATGGACCCACCTTTCTATGTACTGAATTGCCATGTTAATTAGTTTTTTTTCCACATATGTGTAGCACCTCTTCCTCTCTTTTTTGCTCCTAGCTTTTCAGTTTGCTTGATTAGTGTTCAAGTCTGTTAACATCTTTATTGTTGCGGTGATACCCTTCTGTTTATGCAGGTTCACATTTGAATTCTAGAATCCAGTAAAGGGTTAAGCCTCATGGTTGCTAGCCATGGTATGATGCAATAAAATTTGTAGCAAATATTTGGTGGATATTGGATAAACTGCATTCTATATACTGTTGTAATCAAGCAACTTTGGGTATTATAGGGCTGGAATTTCTGAAATCATTTTAATCCTTGAAGAGCATTGGTGGGCAGAACATGCCTTTATTTTTTCAGAATTTTTTTTGGGTAATACCTTAAATTCTGATTGGTCTCCTCCAAGATTGGTGTAGTGTCCTCTTCATGCTGCGGGAACTTTCTACAGATAAATATAAAGATGATTTTAAAGTGCGTGACCAGAGAAAGTTGCTGGGTGGGTATTTTTAATTTAATGTGTACTTGTGTAGTATTATCTGAATCAAATTTAAAAGATGGAAGAATTGGATATGCAAATATTTTTTTGATTTTGCAAGGGGATTTTTCATGCATGCACGTAGGTGGATGCATCTAATTATTAGCGGATGGAGGTCAAGCATTTACATGAAGTGTGTTTGTTCTATTATTTCCTAACTCTTGCTCAAGCATGTAATTTTATCTCTGCAGTTGGTATTGATGTTTTATTGACTATTATATGGTAATTTCCTGTAATGAGAGTTAACTTATGTGCATCCAACACAGAATAAAGTTTGAATGATGAAAGATGCAGTGACAGAGATTGACCCTTAATTCTGATTCTGCTAGAGCACCGGAGATAGAAGGTACAATTTGTTTGGATATTTCATTTTGTTTCTATTAGTCTTAGTTTAAAAAAGTTATTTCAGTTTTGAATTAAGGCATTCATTGCTTGATTTTTTCCTTACGATGAAAAGTAACCGTTCTTTTTTTCCTTACTAGAATATTCTGGTCATATTTTTTCTTTCCTCTTACCGTAAGTAGTCCTAGTTCCAACAGCTCTTTTAACCCACAATCCAATTCCCTTAATATGCATGTGAAGTTAATTTTACAATCGAGACTAGTTCCATTTTTTTACATGTTCTGGTTGTGACCTTCCTTGTGGATCTAAGAATTTCATTGTATAAGTATATATTTCTAGCAGACGGGAATAATTGCAAAATAAATGGTTTTTTTAGGTGGTTGCTAATTTTAACTTAAAAAGAGAAACGTATTTCATTTTTTATTTTTATTTTATTCTCCTAAAAGTGTTTTTTAAAAAGTATACTCAATGCATGTATTAAATGATATCTTAATGCTTAAGAAAACTCTTCATCCTAAGTATTCTTTTTTTTTTTTTTTAAAGATAGGAAAGATTACAAAAATGGTCGTAATGAGGATTGAACTTAAGTCTTCATGCTTCTAATTATTCCAACCCTTCCTCACTCAACCACTAAGCTAACCCTAGTAGTTATCTCCTATATGTATTCTAGTAAAGTGAAGAATATATATATATATATA